TGGCCGTTGTAGCTCTTTTAAAACTTTCCAGACTTGCAGTGTATTATACGCCCTCTGCGAGTTTGAAAAGAAACAGGATAAATGTATAGGTTGTGGTGGGAGAAGCAGCCCTAGTCGGGCTGAATGTCCTTTCATTTCAGCAACAATGCTTTGGCTCATCCTGACAATAATCAACACAATGATAGTCAGACATTCCGCGATGCATTATTCATTTTTATCTGTCTGAGTACCCACTACCATTTGACAACCATCACACTCAAATGTGTTTGGCTTGGGAAAATGGCTGGTATATTGCCTATCTATCATGCAAAAAGAGACGTTTGCCGCAGCAAGGGAAGTAAACATTCTATGACTCATGGTGGGTATAGTCCATAAACAATGGGTCCCGGTTTGACATAATGTCTATCCTGTGGGAGGATGAGGAGCCTCATAAGTGCTAATAAGTCAAGTTGGGCTCCATTATACACAAAAAGATAGATCTACTGCACAAAGGCCATTCATATCTTTTGAGTTGTGTGGGGGGTCATTTAACCATCATCCATTGATTGCTGTCATTTTGGAAGAGTGTAGCCGTCGAGGGGCCTGAAAGAAGAAGCTACTTTGGACTCCCCGTGCTGATCAATAGTGCAGTCTCCAGGTCCAGACGGCATCTCACACATCAAGGCCATGTGGAAGTCCATCGTTGCTCTCCTCAAGCCGGATCAATAAGCCCCGCGTACGCACATACGCACTCCATTCGCTCTGAACCTCCCATCAACAGGTGCGGCTTAATATTCCTCATTTATACGAGTGAGTCCGTGAATCACCCCGGATTGAATCCCCTTGTTTTACATACAGAGAGCAGTCAAACGCTTCAACTGCCTCTTTCCAGCACGAGAAATATACTTACTGAAATGCCCCTGAAGGATCTGCCAAGGCTGAAAAACACGATAAAGTGTTCGGTTGATCCTAAAATTGATCTACAACCTACCTCGCGCAAAAAAAGCTTTTGAAAATACATGAGCCAGCACCGTGGTGTTTAAGGCCGATTTAATTTTGAGCTCCATTCTCTTTGAATAGAGGCTGAAGACATGAACCGTTACGGTCCTACAGTACCTCTGTGGAGCGATAAAAGGGAAACGGAGAGACTGAAATGCTGTGGGGTACCTTTACAGTAGAGCATTATAAGGACAGGAAGCTTGACCCCTCCAGCTCATATCGACAGACATTACTGATTTCTTTTTGGCCAAAGAACTCAGCATGCTACCACTGATCCCTACCGAAAGAGCCCTCGCTGCCAATCTCATTACACTTTTCAATTGACCAAGTCATAGAACAGCGATTACACAAACACACCATAAAACGTCCAATGAGCACTTTCCGTGAGGGTCGATCGATTCGACTAACCGCAGCTGCGCTTTGGACCGAACATCTTAAAATCAGTATCACCAGAGGTGCCAGATTTGCTTCTCTGAGCAAATCAATGCTTGACCGGCAGACTCCATTAGGGGACCTTCTTAAGAACAGTAGTGACTGGTGCAGGTGGATGGACTAAGGCTCAGGCTTTACCTCCTTGTAGTAAGTTTAAGCGGCACTAAGTTGCCTATTAATCTTAGTATTAAAAGTGGTTAATAGTTGAACATACTTACGAACTGTGATAGGAAGACATGAAGTTCTTATTTAGCTTAACAGGCACTTTATAGATGTTTGGACATGAGTGTCTGTCATTTAGTACCAGAGGTTAGAAATCATTGATGATAGGAAATTCATTCACATTTAACCTAAAACCGTCAATAGAATAACCACGCATGATGGTAATTTTTTTTTTATCTGTAACAGCAGTCTCACACCAGCCAAACTCCTACCCATAAGATGTGTCACATATTGGCTGGAATAGGTCACTGGAAACGCTGGGAGTTTTCTTTTCTTGTCAGGTTATAACAGCACTGGCTAAATCCAACCCCATCAATCCCTTTTTCAAATGATTCTGCATATTCAGTCCCTGTCGGGCCGGCCGGGGAAACACGTGACTGTTCAGCATGTCTGCAGAACTGTAGCCTGATGCAAAATGTGCCGTTTTTTATCTGATCTGACGTCTACAGAATCCAGAAAAGTCTCGGAAATGCTTTGCTGCACATGGCGTCTCACTCTCCTCCCAGTCTGTGTAAATTAGATAATTTTTCTCTCTTTGTTTATTGCCGAGAGCCAAAATAATGAGTTATGTTTTTTTAAATTTAACTTATACCTTAATTTTGCCGTTCGGCACTAATTATCTGACGATAAGAGGCAGTTTCCCAAACCACATTAACTTAATAAAAATGTGCTATAGTATCGTATATTGTATTATTAATTGATTGACTTATTAAACAGTTTGTTGTTTCACATAATATTAACCATAGAATAATTCACAGGTGAAGTGACTCTTTTTCTACTTTGAAATATTAGTGCATGAATAATTCATGCTGCTCTGAGATTCATTTTTAGAATATGATCCTCTGGACAGCCTAATGGAGCAGTTTTAGTCTTTGTTCCATCAGAAATCCTTCAAACACCTCCCTCTCCTGCACTCTGCATCAAACTTGGTTTCTTTTTAGGAGGTGTCCCACTGCGCTGACAGCACTCAGACAGAAATATGCCATCTCGCCACGGCACTTTTTTGTTTTCTTGTCTGACCTTCTTTCCTTCCTCAGCTCCACTGTCTGTTTCTCTTCTCTTTTTAAACTTTCTCATTCACATCCTTGCTGCAGCAGCTCCTAACCTCTGAACCTAGCTTGGCTCATTCTCTTTACAGCTCCTCCTCTTTTTTTCTCCGGCTAAAACCGTCACTCCAACCCTACTCTTGTCCTTAACTGAGCACCTCTTCACACCTTGTTTTCCTCCATCAGACTTTCCTCTCGCTGCTTTCCATTTGGCTCTAAATTATTCAAATACCTGCTTAAACTTCTCTCACTTTTTCAGTCTTATGGAGGTTTCTGTTACCAAATGGGGGTGCAATGTCATTTCTTCACCCGACTAAGCCGTGAATTCTTGAGATATTGTCTGTTCAGAGCCAGACGTTTTCAAAGTGTTTAACCTACTTGCCAGAGTAACACCTTGTCTCTACATTTTTCCTTCCACATATGTGGGCAAAGCAGTCCCATGACGGCAACAAGTCCCTCAATTCCAACCGAATGTTTTATAGCACTGTACACCACATTTTACATTAATGACTCATCTAATATACATTATGTTAATCGTCCTACAGATAGCTTTAAGTTGACCTGTTTATCTCAGAATTTAGCCTCAAAGGGAAGCATTAAAAAACAAGGCTAGGAAATATTTTTCCTTTGTGATATTTTGCTGCTTTTGAGTGATCATAGTAAGAGATGTGATCTAATCTGATCATTTAAGTTACCTTGTGCTCGTTATAACCAAACATTCTCTTACAATCATTTGGGTATCATGCATGAGCTTTGGAAGCAGGTAAGAGAACTGCTTTGTCCCATTTCACAGAACACAGGAAGCACGACGGTTTCGAACCATTGATCTGAGAAAACTAAGCTCCGTTGTCTGACATTTCATGAAGCAAATGTTTGATCAATTATTCGAGACAACAGCCTGAGGCTTGATCGATATTTCAAATAATTTCTAATAAAATTATATTTCAATCGCTCACTGTATGAGTCCCAGATTTTATGCCTCTAATAATGAAAAAACTGAATGTCATTACCTCTCAAAATAAGACCTATCAATAAAATATGATGCTGTCAAACGCCTGATGAACTGTAAACACCTTTTGTGTCGTCACCAAAAAAAAAGACTCCATCGGGAACCAATTTCCAGCTGATTCCTTTGCTCAGACTCAAGCTTTTTTTTTTAAATCTTTTTCTGCCCTCTAAACATCTCTGGATCTCCGGAGGAGATTGCTGACCATCACAGCCTGGCGATTACCACGGCGACATCTTTTCATAAATTTCCTGACGTCTTACTGTGATTGGGGAAAAAAAACATTATTTTCTTCTATAGACTTGTATTTTGTGTTTACTACCCACGGTGTCTGACCGTCGCCGCATGCTGCCTCCCTGCAGGCATCTGAAACACACTTCTGTCCACACACACACGCATCTCCATAAAGGGCTTTAGGACGGGTTCTTAAACTCGCGGCGGATTTTAAGTCTAAATATAACTCAGAGTTGGACACTTGTTTATATTTTGAGTTTAATAAAGCTAGAAAAGCCAGCAAATTGGATGTGGACGTTCTCCAATCTTTGCAGTTGTGTTGCACTGCCCTCTTCAGGTTAAAGGGAGAAACCTGCAACCTGCAGTGTGGGGGCAGAGGAATCTTAAAAGGGGGGGTGCCACTGTGTTTGGAAAAGGGGGGGGGGGGGGGGTTAGATGGTGGAGAAAGTACTCTTTCAAAGGCAAAAGGACATAAACCGAGTTGATCAACAATTGCTATGAGCCCCCTTCCCCTTTTAGGAGTTGGGAGTGCATAAATAATTAAGACAGGAATGTTGCATCTTGACAGACACATTTATGCAACACCCACACAGAAGAGAAAAAAAAAAAACCCTGAAAGATTCAGAGGCAGATTGGCGACCGCTCCTATTCCTGAGGGGGAAAAGGGAAACCGGACTGTCCAGACCGTCTGACAGACGGCAGCTGGACGGGCAGGTTGTGGCAAGCTTTGTCTTTGGCCATTCTTTGGACAGCCCACCCATATGACCAGGGGTTGTTTCAAAGGGTTCTGGTGATACTCTGGGTGGATGCGAACCCCCCCTCTGCAAAGCCTTTCTGATGCAGGGCCACACACACACACACACACACACACACACACACGCACACACGCACACACGCACACAATATTTGGGGATTTCTGCCAATTAAGCTACTCTCCACTGGGCCAAACCACAGGGTCACCTTTCACTCTTCTTTCAACTTCACTGTGGGGGTTTTTGGTTTTCAAAAGGTGTGCAAATACTATTACAAAACGTGAAAAATGCATTACATGTGGTACTTGTAAAGGTTATAATCGAATGGGAATGTGTAGTATAGACAGGTGTTTACCTCTGCATTATAGTAATTTATTTTAAACCATTTCTACTGTTTTTTATAAATATATATTTCCATTTTTTTTTTCCATCATTTCAATTTGGCCTGAGTCTTCAGTCATGGGTGTCCTGAAAATTCTGAATACACTTAAACTTGATTTAGGCAAAAACCTTCATTTTGAGCAAATAAAAACATCTAAATCTTAAGAGAGAAATGTGGTAAAGCACGATTCATCAGATCTTGGCTTTAATGTGACATATCACCCATAATGAATATGGTAGGCAAAGCACAACAATGATCAAATAGCTTCTTTCTGTGGCTTAATTCCTTACCATAGCATTAACATCTTTCAGTTCTATGCAACAAGTGTAGAGTCCTGTAGTCAATATCATACAGAAGGAGCCAGTTTGAAGTTATCAATTCCTATTTGTTCGAGCAATCATCAGCAAAGTTTCATACAGCTACTGGCTCTGTGGCCTGAGTCTCACTTTCAACATCGCATCATTGTGCTGGTTGATGAGAAACCGTGTTACAAATTATATGCAACCTAGACATTTTCTACACAATTAAGAGAAACAGTAAGAGTGCAGGTGTGATACAGAGGTCAGCGCCACCACACCAGCTAAGTGCCACCAGTCACGACATCTTCAAACAGCATCATTACATCAGCAAACATGAAGATTTAACAGACGTTTCTGGTCGCCATGAAGTAAATACCAGGAAAATACACTAGTCAGATTGTCAAAAATAAAAAAAGCTATGCAAATGCAGATCATTTTTCAGTTAAACCAGCTTTCATGGCCCCACTAACAGAATGAGGGTGATCATTTTTAAGTTTATGGGGGTGGACACAGGTAGGTCAGTTGGTTAAAAGTGTTGGTTCTTTACATTATTAAAAAAAAATTGACCATGCAGTAGACAGCTGGAATTCCAGTCTTGTAGGAGGCCTCCCTCACTGATCCTCAAAGGCTATTGTGAAGACATGGATTTCCTTTTATGCAAATCGAGCAGCTCCTTTTCTGTGATGCTCCGTGTCACACCCTGATCACCAGGTCTGGATTCACGGCTCATGCATATACAATTTGTGGGCACAGGATTTGTGGAAATGTATGCCGTTTCCATCAAATAGAGGGATTCTTACAAGTGGGATTAGAATCGGGACACTGCTCCTAAGCTTTGTTTTGGTACAGCTTAATGATGTAAAACGCCTACTGTAAGTCCACCGTTTAACCTTTCTAACATTGCCCTGAAACCATCGGCCACGTAACTGACTGTAAACTAAATTATCAAAATACATGGCAACACTCAGATTTAAAAGTTTACATTTATTTCAGATAGGGCAATGTTTTATAAATACCGAGCAGCTCACAGGTACAATCAGACCAATCGAAACAATTTGCTCTAAAGGAGGCCAAAACTAGTATGCTTTTATCAGAAAGGATCGAGACTAGTTGGTGCGGATTTTCATGCACATGACAATATCGTTAAATGCAAGTCAAGTGTCATTTAAACCAAGCAGCAGCATGTCACTTAAAACCGCATATATACGTTTCAGACTCAAACTATGATCAGGATCCAACTATTTTTTCTGGCTTTGTTCTCTAGTACGTTTCGCTCCCCACATCTTAAAGCAATTGGTCTAAAAAGCTGGAATATCCAAGCAGGTTCAGCAAGTTGGACAGGAGGGTTGAGTCAAAAGGTTTCAATGTTTCATGCAAACGGGGTGTCGTTAACACACGCTGAAGTCCTTTTGTCAAGAGAAGGTCGATCATCTTTTCCTTCAAAAACACGCGCCATTCCACGACCACTGTTCATAAGTGTGATAGTCCATCTCCAGGTCCAGCACGGTCAGCCCACAGCACCTCCCACACTGAAGAGTTGGGCGGCACATAGGGACTAAGTGTGGGCCCCAGAGAAACTCCCTTATGCTTTGGGGTTTGGCAGAGGACGTCGGAATAATAAGATGTGTGGCTCTGAATGGTGAAAGCAGAAAAGGGCACATTAATTCTAACATTTAAACAAATGATGCTTTGATTAAAACGAATATTGTTTTAATGAATGCATTTGTCTCTCATGGGCCAACTGGTCTCAATCAGTTTTGTTTTTTTCCTCCCCAAGATTGCAATATCTGATGAGAAGTTATTTTAATGCATTTGTGTTGTCACAAGTTTAAGACAAAAGTCTTGCTGGACACTAGAACAGAATATGTCAAGCACAATGTCAGTAAAAGTGAAAGTGACTGTAAACAGTAGACCAGTTTCATAAAAGCTTTACCAAGACCTTTACCACTACCAAAGAGACTAAAAACTTCTAGTAAGAGTTTGGCTTAAAATAACTCATTTTAGTAATGTCTGGGTCGGATTTTTTTAAATGCAAACCATAACCAAAGTATGCTGGTCGTTTGAAACGTCAGTTAAACCGCATCACTCTCACTTAGCCACCACAAAGAAGCAGAACAAGTCAGACATATAAGGCATCATCATCATCTGACTAGCCCCGGCATCGAAACCATTACTAAAGACTTGACACCTGGAATAGGGTTTGGATACCTGGCTGATGGATCATGTAATGGACCCATCCTTGGCTTTGCTGGACCCCAAGGTTCCTCCATTCGGTCTCCGACATTAGATGGGTCTTCGGTACACGCTTTGCAATGTCTTTGGGTAGCGCAACATGTCTGTCGACAGTAAAACATTGAGGGTAGAATTAATAATGTTAGCATGTCACAGTGACAACTTTATCATGTCACATCCGCGTGGAGTTGTTGCGTCTCAGTCATAAATACCTGTACTCATATTTGTCATCGTCATATTTGTCAGAGTAGTAGATTTGCTTGTGAGACATGGCGGAAGTCTGGTGAAAAAGCGGAATCATTAATTAGCATTCAGAATCAGACATTAAGAAGTTGTTTAATGCGGTGTTAGCAAGAAGCTAAGCGAGCCTGCTAAGCTAACCAGGTCTCAGTTAGCGCACAACAACCGTTGTTACGAGAAGTTGTGTATATGTATATCCACAAATCAAATATGTTTACTAATATACGGCACGACTGGGTAAGTAAAGAAGTTACCTTAGACAGATGACAAAGTATTTAGATGCCAATAAAACACACTTTTCCTGTTTTCACGCCGGACAGCAGATCGACGCTTGCTCTGTCTTTGTTTCCCTCTCGAATGTTTGCTTGCCCGCTTTTCAGCGTTCAAATTAACCTGACCGCATCCCATTGGTCCAACTAACGGAAAGGCGTATTCCCTATTGGTCCTTTTATTCCGTGGAAGGAAATAACGTATATTCTTTGTAGCTTTCTAATTGGCCAGAACGACCCAGGGGGAAATTTTATCCAATCTCGTACACGAGTGAGAACTTTATACTAATAATTATTTGAACTTTTATTTGACCTCACATACAGATTTTAAGGCATTTTAATTACTTTTAATTTTTATTTAATTCAATAAGAAAGTACTGGACGATCATTTTTAGTCGTGACAATGTAAAATAGTGCTGCTGATTCATGCTGGAAAAACGATTGTATACAGCTCTCATGATAATGATACAAAAGTGACAATCATTTTATATATTGGTCCTTTTTGCTAAAAATACTTTTTTTCTTGGATTCGATTTTTTTTACTTGAAATCGATATATTTTGGCAATCCCTCAGATCATTGTTGTTTCATTGTTCTTTCTAATTTAATACAATTTAATCAGGATAGTCTTGTTTACTGCCTTTCAAAAGAGAGCAAGTCTTATAAGGTTTGAGTATACAGGATGGGGGATTAACTAAGGGTCCAGATGTATCTCTGAGGTCCTGTGTTAGGTCCTTAGTTGTTTATTATTTTCAGATTGTGGTCATCTGCCATAGATGTTCACTAGCTGATCACAGTTCTGAAGATTTTAAACTTTAACTTTAACAGTAAACTTTGTATAAAAATGGGAAAGCCAAGTTTTCATCAAAAAATGTGCTGCGGATACTCTTAAAGAAGCAAAAATACTGTTGTGTTTCTGCCACCATGTGTTATCTTTGGCATTTTGAAGAATTACATTGGTGCATGCTGAAAGTAGCTAATTAACTAAAGTTGTAGTTTATAATCAACTGTGAGCTAAGCTGTTTGTGATGTCTCTACATAAAACTGATTTATTTTTCATCAGTCAGTTTACATTTCATCAGTGTTTGGCACAATCTACTGAAAAATGTTCATTTTAAATATTAAAAGGAAGTCTGTCTCCTTAAAAGCAGAATTTGGATAAGTAAGCTGTGCATTTAAAACGTTTGGATACTCTAACAGGCCCTCCACTTAAATGTTCATGCTCTGGAAAAGGAAAGTTGAATGGAGTGACAATTTTTCATTTAATGATCATTTATTGTTATTAATGCATGCATAAATAAAACATCATAGGTATTTATCTCACATCAGTAGATGTGTAAAGAAAGGAAAATGTGACAAAAACAGACAAAGCTACAAACACTAATAATAGAGGAGAAGGAGCCAGATGATGAAATGAATGTCTACACGGTGGCAACAGGAGTTGGGGGATTGTCCGATCCGGCAAGTCCCACAGACAAATTTAGCTCTGTAGACGTGTCAGTGTGTAGCTGGTTCTGGTGGCCTCTGCCTCCTGGTTATATATATGTGTGCAAGCATGCAAATCGAGGGTGAGGGTCACTCACAAAGTTGTAGTATTATAAAGCAAGGAGACTGAGCTCTGTCCATCACCTGCCACCGTCACCTGCAGACGTCAATCACACATGGATGGACGTCGCTTTCCTGACACGGCATTTCTATCTGATTGGTCCAGCCTCGGTTTAGGGGCGGGAGCTCCCTGCATTTGCTGAATTTCCATTGGACGAAAGACGCTTTGGTTCGACGTGACGCAGCTTGGAATTCCCAAAGTTCCCAAGTTCACAGGAGAAGACTGCTCTTACTTAAAACTTACGGTTTGCTAGCGAAAAACTACGTGCGACTGAGGCGTTAACAACAAGGGTAAACGATTTTTTCCCGATAATGGGTGTCATTTCACGTTACTAGCATGTGTGTGGCTCGTCTGCTAACTGCTGGGCCTGAATGGGAACGCGGAAGAGTGGGAATGTTCAAGCTACCATCCTTTGTTTACCATCATGGGTGAACCTTGAATTTGGTTGCTACGGTAGATATACCCCCCAAAAGCCCGTGTCGTCTCGCTGCAAAACAGACCCATAAAACATTTGGTGTTGCAGGGGGTTGAGTGTGTGTCTACGTTTGCTCGTTTGTGGATCATTGGGACAGGCTCGTGCCTGCGGTTTATCCGTTGTTGGTTGGTAAACCGCAGCACAGATTGTGTGGATGGAAGGGTCTGAATGAGAGGTTATCCTGTTGTAGATTTAGCAGAGCAATCATTAATAAATAAATAAAAAAGCAGGCATTGTTGGTCTCCATTGTAACAGGACCATTTGTTTCGACGTGCAGCAGTGTTTTATGGATGTACCCATACTGTTACATAACTTGAATCTACGACAATCAGCCCTTTATCCCCTGTGTGAGATTTCTAAAAACTGTACCACAGTTGCACAATTTAGGCCTTTTAAGCAATAGTTTATATAACCAGACTCCCAAATACTGCTTTCAGTGGCACATGCTCTATCATTTACATGTGTTTGTGTTTTACCACAAAAAACATTATACAATTGCTCTTGGGTTATTTCATCTATTGTATTTATATTTTTTATTATCCCCATAAGGCATGTTGGGTTTTTGGCACATTCAGTGAAGACACGTTGTTGCTGTCGTCATTTGCAGGATTTCAGAAAGCCAAATCTGTCTCGTGCTGTGCCAAGTGGAGCCTCGTGAGGGCGATGTCTGACAGCAGCAACAGCACGGGCAGCAGTGGCTCCTCAACCAACAGCTGGACCCTCCTCTCCCCAGAGGTAAGGACAACAGGAAACTTCGCTTTAAGGGAGATCCTTTAGCCTGGATATTATTTGGAGAGCAGTTATTTTTCTGCTAATTTGAAACCCCTCGTGCCCGGACACAAAGCTGAGCAAACACCTCAGACTCTTGGCTGTGTTCCCTGAGCCCTTAAAGTATTAGTGGTGCACAGCTCACTCCTGCTGGGGGGGCTGTTTCTGTGCTATTGGGTGGTGCCATTGGCACGTCTTCTATTACTGTTAGGGATGATAGGTATGCAGAGATGTTTAGGTTGGTGACAAATGTCTAAGTAAGATCTATGTCAATGCCAGAAGGCACATTTCCCTGTAGCTGTCTTGCTGGTCATAGAACTTTAGCAGTCTGGAACAGGTTTGTAAAAAAAATTATAATCTATTAACAATTTTGATATCTACAAGGGATGGAGGTACTGAAATGGAGAGCAGTCTGTGCAGACTAAAGGCTTTTTTCATGTGGATTCGAGCTGTTGTAATAAATGCAGACTGTTGTTTGGCATTTTCTTGCTGAAATAATTTGAGCCCTTTCAGAAAAAATGTGACATCCGCATAGCTGCGCATGTTGCTGCAAAACCTGAGTATTTGGCTTAGTGTTAATGATTCCTTTACAGATGTGCACAGAGGAACTCCCTCACCAGAACAGACTGCGGCTTTTGAACCTCATTCCAGTTTGCATGTAAAATTCCAGTTTACATGTACTAGGATTTAGAGAGGCCTGGGCTGCCTTGATGTAAACATCATGATGTTACCATATTCATCTATCTTCATCAGGGATGGGTTTTGTTTGTTAAGTCAGAGGTGATAGCTTGATGAATCATGGGAAAAACATTGTCTAAATATCACTGCTGTGGGCTTTACGTCTAAGTTTAGTTAATGTGTTTGAAAAGTCATATTGTAGAAGAATCTTGGATAATATATTTGACAAGCCGGTTAATTAAAGGCAACTGCATGAAAGCTACAGTCTGTAAACCACAGTTCTCATAACAGACATCTTGTGTGCCTCGATGCGTGCTTGTATGAGGTGCACTGTAAATGTCAAGGTCAGGCTCACCAATTAGGTAAAAATCTTTGGAACGCTGATGCAGCTGGATCTTCTTACCCCACAGGAAGCTGCCATTGAGAATGTGGGGCCTGTGGACGACGGCACGGAGAGCCTGGGCGACGCTCCCAGTCTCTCCGAAGAGGTGACAGGTATTGTCAGCGCCTGTGTCTGGGGGTTGTGGCATGAATGAGAATCAGAAAGTTGCTGTTAACCGCGTTGCTAGGTTTCCTTTTTGTTTTCTTCTTTTCTGACATGGTGGACGTTTTGTTTCAGGAGCTGCTGCCGAGTTCAAAGCGGCTGACATCCCGGTAGAAACTGTTCTGTCTGAAGAAGGCCATCAGGTTGGTACACAATAAACCAAATCTGGTGCAGGCAGGTAAAACCAGTGAAAACGCAAAGGTCCTATTCACAACGTCCTATTACCGTTACACACTAAAAGTAAAAATGACTACAGTTGAAGAAGATTTCTGTTCCATCTGTCTTATTTAAACTCATCTTCTTTTCCTGTTTCATCAACAGGTTTGTCAAGAGACCTCACCAGATCCCAGCGAGGGTCCCATCCCGTCAAGTCCTTCCCGGCTGAGCCCTCTTCCTCCCAACCTGCTTGACCCTTCAGAGCTTGATTTGGAGAGTCAGGCTCCTGTTATTCACGATATCGACACCAGCTCCCCAAGTGACAACGAACCCCAGGGCGCCATGCCTTTCGTCACCAACATCAGCTCAGAGGCTCCACTGGATATCCCAGCTGTTGAACTCCCCTCGGCTGAGCCCGAGGAGTCCAGCTCTGCTCCTCCCACCAGTGAGCCCTCCATCTCAGCGGAGCCCTTCCTGGACACGCCTGCTGTAGAGTGTCCCGTCCTCAGCGCCGAACCCGGAGTCTACGTCCCCACGGAGACCCTCACAGCCGCCGATCCCCCACCTCATGTTGATGCTGATATCAGTTTCATTCCAGACAGTGCAGAACCTCTAAGCGCAGCCCCAGACAGCCTGGCAACAGAACATCCAGCCAAAGAAAGCCCCTGGCCAGAGACCATTGGTTCAGCTGAGACTGAGGAAGAGGAGGCTGCTGTTGAAAAGGAGCCAGCAAGGCCATCTGAGACTGTGTCTGGAGAAGAAAGAGAGGAGGAAGAAGGTATGGAATTATCCAACAGGAACTCTTGAGCATTCCAAATACAGTTAGAGATCCCCTCAATTTGATTGACATTTCTTTTAAAGAAATTGATACATTTAATTCGTCCGGCATTCATAAACCCTTTTCTTTCACCCAACAACCAGTGGGAAAAAAAGAGGTATTTTTGTCAGTTTGCCCACAACTCACGTAACTTTGTTTCCAGCCATATTTACATGTTCTTTTAAGATATACTAAAAGACAGACACTTAGATTTTTACTTTAAAGACAGTTACTTACTTTTGATTGCTCTTACTGTATAAAATTCTGCTAAGAGGCCATGTCATTCTTTTAGCCTTAATATAAGTTGGGTTTTTTTTCAGAACTATATAATTCTTTAGAACTAGACACACTCAAAAAGCCCCTTTGTAGGTGGACTTGAGATCAAATGAAGCATTTTAGCTACACATTGTGCTATAACAGACATGTTTGGGGCTGATGGCATAAAGAGAAAGCTACCACACAACAAGCTCCTGAGGCCTCGGGGGCCTCTCAGGGGAGCGTCCCGGATCCTATGGCTGCTAACAGCTTTTCTCAGTAGGTCGGGCAGCCTTGAGGAAAGCTGAAGTGGTTCCCGGTGCTTGCAATCAGCAAAAGCTGATAAAAGGAAGGAAAAAAAAACAGAGAAATCTCAGTGAAGATTGTTAGCGTGTTTCTTATCTGTGTCACACTAGCAGCTGGAAAGAGATTTATCATTGTGTCAGTGAGGTCCACACCCCACAGAGAAATTGAAGAAAACCCAAGCATGAAATTACTGTTGTTGTAATTTAGTCAGAAAATGTCATGCATTTCCACAACCAGCATTGTTTCTCTGCCAGATATTTCTCACATGCTGTCTGCACATTTTTGGTGTGTGTCTGATTTGATGTAGTGATTCAGATTCTGGTATTTTATGCGAGGAGGGCTGCCAGTAGATAATTATAATCTTGGGAATAACTTCAGTGCTGATGACTTGGTCTGTGAAGACGTGAAGAAGATTTATTGACGTGGTTTGCAGTCGTAGTTGAACACATGTGGTTTTGGTTCACACATAATTTTATTATCTGTCACAAAAGGCTTTCTGCTGTTTTGGAATTCTTTTTTTTTCATGTTGACAAACTCTCCTTGTTCCGGTTTTCCTCCTTTTTCAGAGCCATCCAGCAGTTTGGAGTGGGGGGAGAGTAGCTTTGATGATGGACTGAGGAGGAGAAATGTGCCCTTTGATGCTGCAAGGCCACGAACCTCAGATGAGGAAGATGAAGAGGAGGAGGTAGAATTTAGGCTGGCTGAAAGGAAGGAGGAAAAGTCCTGGTTCTCCATGAACAAATGCATTGTAGCTGGTCTGGTTCTGCTCTTCTTAGGGTCCCTCTTTCTTTCAGGTGAGTTATTATTCAACACAAGCTAGTTTGCTTGTATCTGTAAAGATTTTTTTTTATTGCAAAACGTATGCTGTTCATTAGCAGCTAATTTACTTTATAGTGGTATAGTACCAGAAGTGGACCATTGTGTCGTATTTTAATAGACAGTTTAACATAACTTGTAAAGCAATAAATAAATAATGGCATCTTATTCACAGTGGAACAGAGACACTTTTTAAAATCATATTAAGCTTCAGAAAAGTTAGGCTTTCATGGCCTATTCGAAACTGGACTGGAACAGTAGCTCTTCAGGGTTTCTGTCGTTTCTAAATTGTTGCTTCCTTTGACCACAGAATCCACAGACTCTGAACCACTCCACATAAAAACACACATACTTCCATTTTTACAAAAGTGGTTGAGCTCCGGTCACAGAAACAGGTCGGACCGCCGTAAGGGTTCCTCTGTCACTGTGGTCAAAGCGTTGTTAACAGTCTACGTGTTTGACAATGACAGTATTTATCAGTTACATAAGCATGTTTATTTGCAGTTGTCAGCAATACTGAGATGGCCGTTTTTAGATGTTGTTGACTAAGCGGCGCTCTGTCAACAGGTTTTCTCTCTGACCTGGATAATGGTAGGTCCAGTGCCACAGATAAGAGCGCAGTGTAAGCTTCTGCTCTGGCTGGCTGACGCTCAGTAGATTGTCAAAGCACTTATCCGGCCTGACAGCTCCCGCAGCAGCAGCAGAAAAAGTAAAATAACACGCAGTTGGAATTGTGCAATGACTCTCTTTGATACTGTTTAAATGGAGTTGATGTTCAGGCTGGGGACATAGAGAGGAACATGGAAACTGCAAGAATTCCATTTAGCATTTCAAACTTAAAAATATACATATATTTTTAAAAGAATTTTAAAAGATACCTACAAGCTTCCAGCATCTGGGTAATGTCCCAGCAGTGCCTGGGGTCACAGAATGCACCTCACAGCTGAAGCATGTTTGGCAGCTGTGTGTCAGAGAAGCGTCCTTTGTCAGACCTGTGTGAATGTGGCGTTGTCCTGTCTGACAGGTGACTTGGACGCCTCCGAACAGAGCGATGGAGAACATAGCCAGGTCTGTTTCTTCTCTTTTTTTCATTCAGCTATTTATTCTTGTTTTCCAGTAGGAGTTTGCCAAAGTTCCTACGTGAAACATTTGCCTTAAAACTATAGAGATGAACAGCAATCGCTGAAAGATAACATAGTTTTAAAAATATGGTTTTTTTTTTTGCATGCCCTGATGATTTCCAATCCAGGACTGGCTTAGCGATGATCCACAGGATATGAAAGAGCTATTGGATAAACTGACACAGGAAAACCAACAAATCACGGAGCTAGAGGCTCAACTGCAGGTCAGCACGGGTCCTACTGACGCTGATGATTCATTTCTCCCCCGTCATTAAGACTCTGTAAAGCACAATCAGCTTGTTGTAAACAAAGCTGTTTGTTATTGTCCAGCATCTTCAGTTGAGAGCCGTTTTTCTCTGTTTTGCTTAATCGCTCAGACTAAGACGGAGGAACTGGACTCTGAGATAAGGGCCGTGGCTGCCAGCGGTGACGAAAAGGGTCAGGCGGATTTGGAAAATGAAAATGCAAAGCTGAGGGAAGAGCTGTCATCTCTGCCCGAGCTCAAGAGAGAACTGGAGAGCCTGAGGGCCAGAGTGACCGAACTGAGCCAGCTCACAGGTACGAGGTGACCAATCAGGGCGAATGAAATCCAGGCTGCCGGGGTGCAATAGAATTGTATAATTGTCTCATTCATTTTTTATTTCTTGAATCCCCTGCAGCTGATCCACAAACAGCCACTCCTAGTTCAGCCTCTCAGCCTGATGACAAATATGCTCAGAGTGCTCAAAAAGCAGCTGGTCCAGAGAGGGAAGACGCGGGCGGGGAAGGAATGCTGAAGGAGGAACTGAGGAGGCAGAAAGTTCTTCTGGAAGAGAGCAAGAGACGGCTGGAGAGGATGAGAAAAGACGGAGGAGACGGCAAAAAGGTGTGGGACAGCCTGGGAGAGATCCAGAAGAAACTCTCGGAACAAGTCGAGAGGTGGGGTAAGAAGAAGTCCCCGGAGTCCAAATGGAAAGGCAACAAAGGCAAAAACGCTGACCGCGAGCAGGGGAAGAAGGACGAAAAGGAGTGGAGAGGCGAGAAAGAGTGGAAGCGCAGCAAAGAGGGCGGATGGAGGGACAAGGAGGAGAAGAAGGAGAAGGAGCGGAAGCCTCAGAAGCCCAACTCTCACAAGGAGGCCTGGAGGAAGCACCAGGACGAGTGGGAGAGGAAGAAGGACGAGCGCAGGAAGGACAGGGAGGATAGGAGGAAGGAGAAGACAAACTCCCACCACCACCATCAGCCCCAGCACCAGCCCCAGCAGCAGCCCCCCCACAGCGACTTCTGGAGGGACCAGGCCCAGAAGCTCCACGCCAACGTCCGCCCGCAGCTGGGATGCGCCTCGGTGGAGGACTGCGCCGGGCGGGAGGGGCTGTACCCCGTGGAGCTGCCCGAGTTCGACGAGCTGCTGGAGGGCTACCTGAGCAAGCTGGAGGGCTCCCCCAACGAGAGCAAGGACAGGATCCGGAGGCTGACCGCCGAGTTCTTCGAGGACGGCGTGTTCATCCACGACAGGGCGCGCTTCGCCGACTTCGCCGAGGACGTGGCCGACGTCCTGGAAGACATGGCGGACGTGCTGGAGGGCGACCACGACTCCCTGGAGGAGGAGATGGAGGAGTTTGAGCGCGAGGCCCTGTGGAAGTTCGCAGCCACGGCGTAGAGATGGACAAGCCCGCCGCAAACGGTCAAACCCACGTGGAAGACAAAGCACAGGTGTCGATTTTTTCTCGGACATTTCTCGCCCCCACCCTCTCCTCCTCAAGAGCTGTCATTTTGCTGTAACTTTCGGGAGCGGTTGTGCCTCTCATAAACGTGTCCCTTCGAGTCTCTAATTATAAGCTAGACTTGTGTTTGTCATTTTGGACTTAGTTGTTGTTACCTACCTCTGTCAGGTCATGCCTCCTAAAGTGAAGTCCTGCAGTAATGTGTCGTGTGAATCTTCCTCTGCTATTTAGTGCTGTACACTGTGCATGTAAGATACAATTCAGAACACAGAGAAACAGGGTCTTAAGGAGCCGGTACCTGCAAATAATTCTGCTTATAAAAAAAGTCCAATGGATACAGCATGACGTGTGAAGGAGACTTTGAATTGGCAGGTCTTTGCTCCTCCTAGTGTGGAAATTCTCTAAAGAAATGCCCAGTACTTTTTGTTTGTTTTCTTTCTCATGCCCTAGATACCGCTTGCCTTTAGCAGCAGTTCGGTCACAGAATGAGAAATCTGAGTTTTAAAAGTGATAAGAATCAGATCAGGTCAGACGGAGGATTGTTCAAAAGTCAAGACGACCTTACATCTTCCAGCCAAGATGTGGGACGTCAGAGAAAGACAGCAATAGAAAGTGATAGCCATAGTTAGATTGATGACTGCTGAGCCACTTTGGCACTTTCCTCAAGCATTTCAGAAATTGTCGAGCTTATTTTTTTTTCTGTTATTTTCTGTAGAAGGCGTTATTTTTCTTGTCATTTTTGTCCAGTCGTCGTAAACCTCTCCACTCTCAGAGCGCTCTGAGTAAACTTTTAGAGGTTGGTGATGTGAAGGAATCCCTAAAGGGGTTTATTTCACCTCCTTTCTTTGCTCGCCAAAATGAGTTCTGAAACCAAACCAGTGTTTTGTTTTCCCCTTTCCTCTAAACTTTTTTCCATGAATAGAAATGATTGACAGCATGCTAGTGCTTTAGATGGGGGGAGACAAAAGGAAAAACAAAGATCGTCTGTCGAGCCTCTGTTGAGCGTGAGCCAGGAAAAGATTAAACAAGACTCGCACAAAGCAAAGTCCAAAAGGTACTCTTTCATTTCTTCTGAGGGAAGATACAGTCCTTCTTTTTCTTTCACTTTAAAGGTTTAGCTCTTTATGGGCCAGATTGAAAAATGGACGGATCAACGTTGTTTCTTTTTCTCCTTCAGTGATTGAAATGAGCTTTGAAGTGTTTGCTGATTTATTTATTGTCACTGTTCAGCCGTTGTTTTCTGTATTTTAACCTGAGAAGCCGCGGCTTTAGCTCCGGGCTTCTATCGCCGAATGTTTCACTAGTTTTCGCTCATTTTGCTGTTCAGACGTTTAGTTTACCCTTTTTGCTGCTTATGTGCCTTTTTCGTGAGGAATATCTTAGTTTTTGAGATGAGGTCTTGGATTGCATTTGCTAACGCAAGAAGTAAAAAGAAAGAGTCCACGGCTTTTGGTTTTACTGCTGTTTATAGGGCAGAGTGAATGTCAGAGTTTACACACCGAGTGTTGAACTGATTGTTTTTTCCCTCTGCTGTTTGTAGCAGGGAACCCTTTTTATGAAGGTTTTCTAGACCAAAGGGTTTGAAAGAAAGAGTACTCCAAACTCCAGATGTGAGAGAGGGAGAGTTGGATTGATACTAGAGGAGTACTTCTGTCTTTACTGATGATGTCGGACTGGCTCCCGTCTGGATGTAACTGACTCCTGGACAATATCGAATTTTCCCCATCAGCAGTTATGTCCTCCTTTTAGAAGTTAAATGTTGAGTTCAATAAATTTTTCATCACAAAGTCTGTAAATGGTCCTCTTGTGTTTCTTTTCCACGGTGCGCGAGTTCAAATGTGAAAGTTCTGATCAGATCGTAAAATAGCTCAGGCCTCAGAAATAATTCAACAAACGCCAAACCGAAAAGCAGATCCAGCACCAAGGAACCTCTACGACTCAGCAACCTGCTGAGGCTCCATCTAGGCCCCAGCATTCAGTCCTCGGCCCAAATGATTATCAGCTCCCCGTCCCTGGGATTGTCAGATGGTACGAGGTGTTTGTGCTGATGGGCTGGGCTTGGTTCTCTCCCAACCAAACATGTGGCCAAACATCTCCACCGTGTTCTCACGGGTCCAGAGGGCTCTGGTCCAGAGGCTCAGATGCAGCTTTACAGACCTAAGCTGTGCTGGATCGCTGGTTTAAGGAGGAACAGGCTTTCTCCTACAGCCCCTCCAAACTGCTCGTGTTTGTCCAGTCTTTTTTTTTTTTATCTTTCCCCCGTCATGACCTTTAACATTTAACATGCTAACTGGAGCCTGTAAAGTCTGAGATGTAGTGTGTGGCTTTTTTGGAGTTTCTTTAGGAACTAGTCAATTGGGTGAACCTGCTTGGACGTCCATTGTTGGGAAGATTGGCATCTGTATCGAATGGTTTCCACTTGTGAATAATCTTTCTCGCTGTAAAAAAAAAAAAAAAAAAATAAAGACGGCACACAGGCCTTCCCAGGCCAATGAGCAGCAATAATTGCCTTTCCGACACGATTCCTGACAACAGCTCTCCTCTGCGGAATGATGTGAACACACATGTGAATGCTTGAGGCCAGCTAACTGTCAGACTGTTGGCTTTAATAGACGAGGCCACTCTTGCTTAAGACGAGTTCACCCGGTGCATTTCCCCGACTGCTGCTTTACCTGTTCAAGTGAAGGAGACAGTAAGGCCTTCCTTCCTTCCTTCCTTCTTTCCTTCCTTCCTTCCTTCCACAGACAGACTTGGCGTAGCTTTTGGTGGGTTAATATTGACATGCTGTAAAGCCTCACGTGCTGTTGTTTAACTGCTGTCTTCCTGCATTTTTAGCCAGCCGGGACCAGATTTTTTTTCTGTCCAAGTCCTTATGTACAAAACCTCAGAACTAAAAGAGGGTTTACATTCTCTTCTGGGGCTTTACAGTGCCAGCCAGCCGTGTGAGACACGGAGTCTGACTCACTCTATCACGACTGGTGCCCATAGATACATCTTGAATAGCAAACCGAAATATTTCCTCCTCACTCAGCCTGTCCTGATATAAGGACCGTCCAGTCCCAGAGCTGACCGGCTGATGAGTGAGAACCAGTCGGTCATTACCAAACAGCACAGATAGCTTGTCATTCTTTAAATTCTACAAGTCAGCAAAGAGGCATTTTGGATATTTGTGTTTTTTTCAACAAAGGGCCCCTCTCTTTGACTTCTAAAAGTATGACTCTGATCAAATTAAACTAGATCTGCAACTACAAAACGACCACCTTCCTCCACTGTGGTCAAAGTGCTATCCTATACGCACGATATAAAGTCGGAGGCTCGCACACATGAGCCAGTGTGATTTGTCCTCGGAGCCATTATTTGAGTCATGTTTTGTATAAACTAATTACTGCTTGGACATGCATGATTCCCCCCCTTGATTAGCCCGGCCCGATGCTATCTGCGGACGGACTGAGACGGGTTTTTGTGCAGTCATCAGAGGAGATTTGCCCTTTGCAGGTCAGTGTGGCAGTTTCCTATTTTTGTGTGTGTGTTGCTTTTTTATTTCTTCTGTTTTTTTGTTTTTTTTTCTTTCAATGTGCCTGTGTTGTGGAAATCCAGCAGCAATGAGGGCAGCCCGCAGGATGGGGGGGGGGGTGGGAGATGGGCAGGTTGAGTGTTTTCCGCTGATGTGTGCAGCAGTGATGGTGGAGATGGAGCGCATATATTTGGAGAGGGAGGGATAAGGCTTTGAGCACCTTGTGAGACTCACCAGACGTTCTCTAAACAAAGCAGGTACTACACCGACTGCTGTTTTTTCTGTCCTGTCTCCGGCCTTTTGTCGAGCTGCGTTCGGCCGTGTTGAAGCTTTTTCGCCCACTTTACAGCGCCAGTCACCATGGAAGGAGCCATCAGCACCATCGTCAGCCAGTTCAAGGAGCACGCTGGGAATGACGGGTCCTCCAGCACGCTGAGCAAAAGTGAGTTCCACAGCCTGGTGACCGCTCAGCTGCCGAACTACGTCAAGGTGCGTCTCCTCGGTTGTTCTGACTCTGCACGCTGATTTAAGTCTAGCACAGACAGGGAGAGGTCATCTCAACTGGTTTGAGGCATTCGGATGTTTGTGTGATATACTGTATATGTATATGTGTGTAGAATCTTATCAAATTTGGTGTTTATTCAAACACAAATGTCTTTTATGATACACTTATGATTCTATATATTTGACTGAAATGGTGGTTCTGGGTTCGAGTCCCGGGGTAACCAGGACCTTTCTGTGTGGAGTTTGCATGTTCTCCCCGTGTCAGTGTGGGTTGTCTCCGGGTTCTCCAGTTTCGTCCCACCGTCCAAAAACCTGCATGTTAGGTTTATTGGACATTCCAAATTGCCCTTAGGAGTGAGTGTGAGTGTGAGTGTGAGTGGTTATTTGTCCTTGTGTGTCTCTGTGTGGCCCTGTGGTGGACTGGCGGACCGTCCAGGCTGTACCTAGCCTCTCGCCCACTGACCACTGGGATAAGCTCCAGTCCCCCTAGAGAATAAGCGGTTCCGATAATCGATGGATGGATGATTAACCAGTTCAATTTGTGGAAGATTGCTACCATTTTGATGAATGACTGAAGCAAGTGCACCTATTCTAAAATACTTGAATGAACTGCAAGTGATAATCTTTAGGTTTCCCACAGATATCAACATATTTAGGCCTGCTGTGTAAATAAAGCCGCCAAATGTGTTCGGTTAAAGGCATTCTCCATTAATAAACCGTGTGTTGGTGTGTTTACTGCTTCTCTTAACCATTAGGTGGCAGGACAGTCTTTCACAGAGGCTGATGGAGCAGCTCCAACCGATCCTGCCATGATTAGTTTTTTTCTTGTCTGTGATCCCCCGCAGAATGCCAGCGATCCCGGAGCAATCGACCAGCTCATGAGCTCCATAGACGAGAATAACGACGGGGAACTGACTTTCTCCGAGTTCTGGCAGCTGATTGGCAGACTGGCGAGCAAACAGGGAGGCTTCGGTCAGTAGCGCTCCGCCACCAGGCCTGACCGTGCAACGCGTCCCATCATCTGTGGGGCCGTTTGAATTCTTTTATTGCTCGGCCGGCGTGATGTGTAACTCCTGAGTTAACTATTTGCTGAATGTGGGGAATTGTGAATTAAAAGGCTTCATTGTCTTGAATCTACAACTGCCAATTCCTCCGTCTCCTGTCATTCATTCACCGTGTTATATGATGTCCAGCCGCCCACGTATGAGCAGGAGAAAATTACAGCCTTGATTTGGAGCTCGTAACCCTATACGGACTACTGCTGACACAACGCCATCATCCAGCCCATATCCTGTTCCACGGGGCTTGGAAATGCCTATAGAAAGCTGCCTGTTCGAGCATTAAGCAGCTATGATGCAAAAGCCCGCTCTTTACTGTCTATCAATAAGGACTCAGTGGACTGTGTAATGGGGACATGCGGCCCAAATACACCTATTATGCTCGGTAGGCCTTACTGTCGTTGCGATATGTTGTTTCTTTAGGGTGTAATTAACTTTGATTCTGACATTTTGCATTAATTATTATGTCTAGACAGAGTTATGTGTGCTGGCATGCTCCCCTGCTGCTTTAAAGCCCATAAGCCTCGGCTAATTTTGTTAACTGAAAAAAAAAAAAAAAAAAAAAACTCCCGCTCAATGACAGTGAATGCAACCTTTGTATCTAAATCAAACGGTGGTAAGGTGCTGGCGTGGGTGTGGCGATGATGGGTCGATGAATCAGAAAAGCAGATAACGCCAGCTTGGCGTACATTTAGGAAAGGCCTGTGTATACACAGACTGTTTGCAGCCAACAGCTCTTCCAGATAACCGTCGTGGGCATTAACGTTTTGTTTACGCACGCAAAAAAAACACCAGTGAGCCATAATCTCTGGCGGGAATTTACTACGAAGTTGTAAAAGAATCTGGCAGAACTACTTCACTTCCTGCCTCTCACATCAGCTTTCATACAATATGTTCAGAGACATCCGAAGTATTTAAACAACTTGTCAGCTTTTTTTTTTTTTTTTTGCAAACCAAAGGATTTCCTCCACAGTCGCCAGTACTTCTGGAGTTCCTCTGTTGATGCACAAAAAACTGAAAAGGGCAGCTCTTTTTACCATTCCTGTCCATCTCTGGTCGGATTTTCTTATTAGAGCTATAACTTGGATGGAAAGTCTAAATCTAAACCTTCATTCATTTGCTTCAACTTACATAATTACAATTTAGGTCGCCCGAACTTAAGAATCCTGATTTCCACGTTTGGTTTGCCTAACTGTTGTGGTGTCCAGCAGATTGGGCAAACATGGTCTGATCGATAACATAAGATATGAACTATTATACAGGACATTCAGCCACCTGCCCACACTTAAAGACAGTCAAATTTAGTGCTCAACCTCTGGATACAGTACTAACAACAATTCGATCATACAGCACTGAAAATGACTGTATAAGATTCTGTTTCACTGTATTAGGAAAACTTAATTTGCACCTTTTTTTTACTTCTATAGATCAAAACTTGTAATTTCTTACTTTATTCTACATGGAAATAAGTTGTTTACCTGACTTTTTTTTTTTAAAAACAACCTTAAAAAGAAAAAAACTCAGGACACGTCCACATTGAAATATGTTCTGTTATCAGTTGAGTATTTTGTTTAAAATTTCCTTTGAATTTATTAAGCGCAATCAAACACTCTTGAAAATCCTGTGCAGATGAAGTAATCCCACCCGCCCTCTCTCCCCGTCCCAGCAGACCGAGCTGCTCCAAGCCACAAGCCAGCCCAGCTGGCGTGAAACTGCGCAAATCACTCATGAAGTTAAAAAGCTCGCCCATGCGCCAAAGATGATTCCAATAAAACCCGACTATAAGCGCATTTGATACACTTTCACTCCCATTTTACGCGAGTTAAGGTCGCTGTCTTCCATATTCACGGTTCCTCCTCGCGCTCTTCCAGGTACACGCCCTTTGACTTGTGAAGGGGGAAAACTTTTAAGGACAGGAGAAAAAAAAAAAAAAACCTAAATCACGGAAGAGATTCTGCAGTCCTACTAGTTTGGCAAGTTCTCTGGGCTCAATCAGCGTAGAAAGGCGGAGAAGAGGACAGAAACTCACATTTGTGCGCATTTTATACACTTCTCGTGTCCCGAAGACGGTAAACGGTGAGTGGAATGCGTTTTTTTGCACAGTTTCAAGCTTTTCCTCCGTGTAAGCTGCTTATTTGCCCATCGTTTTGCCACGTTTCGATAAACTCTTGTTAGAGCCGTCCCATGAAACCTGGCTGCTGTCTGACTGCAGGACGGAATCAATGACTCCTGTGGTGCGAAGTTTTAGGGTCCCTGAACACTTTCCTAAAAGCGGGGAATTGGAGGACTTGATTTATGTATTTTGCTCATTTTTATTTCGCTTTTTGGCGGAGAGCGGTTGCTTTCTAATCTCCCAATGAAAATCCCACAAGTATATATTTTGTATTTGTATTTATATCAGTTGTCAAGGGACAAGGAATCCTATCAATAACAGGCAACTCGAGATGTCAGGGTTTGGGGCTTAAACTTAGCAGATCCCTTTTATTTGGGATCCGTATCGTGCGTAAAAGCGCATTTTTGGGGGCAACATTTAGCTGCCAATGTGCTTTTTCCAGAGAGGCCCACTAGACTGACGGGCTGACTTTCTGAGTCTATCCCCGTGGATTTTAACACTGCTCCACGATGTAGAGCAGTGTCCACGGACACTTTGGGCGTTTGTGAGTCCCAGATCCGCCGCTGCGCGTTGCACGGGCGGTTCTGCCTTTAAATACGCGCTGAAGCTCGGGAGAAGAGACGTTTCACTCTCCGTCCCCCTCGGAGCCGCAGCCTAACTTGTTCCTCTGTTAATATTTGATGCCCCACTAGCGGTAGTATTGTCGTTACCCTGCGCACATACCGTATCACGTTCGCTCGTTTGGAAACGCAACCCCTCGTCTCCTTCTGGGCTATTCGGGGAAACGGGAAACCTCTGGTTTGTAGGCCTGCGTGTTTAATAATTAGCGCGGTCGTTTTTGGGCGCGTTTGAGGCAAATAACGGGGATTAGTTTTTTTTTTGGCCAAGATGGACCTCTGACGTGGGACCGACGCAGTCCTGAATTCAATTGGGCCACGCGTTGGGACGCGTTCCAGGTCCACCTTAAGACAGGTCACCTGGCAAATAATGAAGGCGAGAATGCAGTGGGTTGTCGACCCAAGAATAGAAGAAAAAAATGTGTGGGTATTTCAGGGAAGAGCGTTGAAGGCTCTCCTCTGGCTGCGGAGGGTGTGTCACCGGCGCAGGAAGAAGTCCCCGAAAATTCCAGCAGTGCTTGGCATTTGCTTGGAACAACTATAAACTGGTTAAACATACGTTTTACACAGGTGTGAGGTTGAACAACAACAAAAAAAAGAACATATTTCATGACTTGAAAGCTGTTTAGGTGTTTCGGTTTTATGCAAAATACAGTCTGGCTGCATTCATAAGGTCCAACCAGAGAGATCAGCAGGTCATTGGTATGGTCTGAAAAGGATCGCGTGAAACGTTAGATTTTAATGGTGTTTTGCAGCTCGAGCTCGCTGTCACCACCTTTAATGAGGCACACAACCCTAATTGGCCATATAGTGTTTACTTGAGGCCTCGGCTTCGGTCTTTTCTCGGTGGGACGTGCGTTTCAGGGAGTGGGAATATTAATACGGGGTTTATCCATCCGTGAAACCTGTTGTTTGCTCCGGAAGCCTGCGAATAATAAACCGACTGATGAGTGTGTTTGTCCTGAACACGTCCCACCGCTGTGGGGCAAACTCACTCGGAGTTGGCCTGTAAATTCCTGTCTAAGTGATCTGCACAGACAGCAATGAATGGAATTCCGGCAAAAAACATGTCACCCACTGGCTTGTTGGACTTTTTGAGCAATGTCTGTCGTTTATCTTTGCATCTGACAAGAAGCTCCCATTTTTGATTGCTCTGCTGTCAGAGCCAGGAAGTCTCAAATATTTGTGCATATTTCAGTCTGAAAGTGTGCAGTGTAGCTTCCCCTTATCGTCCGGCTTTGTCGTGTGTGACCGAAGCAGCCTAAGAGAAGAAAATGCATTCAGTGTACAAAACTAGGGTGAGTCGGAGGGTGGTAAAAGAAGAAAAGGAGTACAGCAAAAAAAAAAAAGCTAAATCGAGACTGGAAGGAAGAAAGACAGAGAAGGGCAGACAAACTAGGTAATCCCTCCAGTAATCTGAATCCCGGTTCCCTCAGTGGCTTCGGCAGATCAGATGACCTATCAAGGATCAGAACTTCCATTGTGGATCAGAGCTCGTCTGGCAATCAAACTCCCTCTCACCCTCTCTCCACTTATCTCACGTCACCGTTCCTGTCTTGTTGTATCTCTATACTCAGCACCTGATATGAAAGGCATCGCATGAGGGGATCCTCTCTTTAATTTTTCACTACACGTGTCTGTAACTACAATGTGGATGGAATCAAACATCTCCCTAACTTCCTCCCTCACGCAGCATTATCTATCTATGTATCTATCTATCTATCTATCTATGTATCTATCTATCTATGTATCTATCTATCTATCTATCTATCTATCTATCTATCTATCTATCTATCTATCTATCTATCTATCTATCTATCTATCTATCTATCTATCTATCTATCTATCTATCTGTCTATCTGTCTATCTGTCTATCTGTCCATCCATTTATTATGTATGTATTTATTTATCTATGTCTTAATGGGTGTGGCTTCTCTTTCCTCACAGAGGAGACATGGAGGACGCCATTCAGACCATGGTGAAGGTCTTCCTCAAGACGAGCAAAGGAAAGGAGAATCTAGGAAAGAAAGAATTCCAGAGTCTGGTTTCAAACCAGCTCAGCAACATCCTCACGGTTAGGACACATTTATTGAAACTCTCTAAACTGCTTCCATCCTCTTGCTTTGCAAAAACAGCCTGACAGAACAGGACGTAGTGTCCGGTCTTCATTTGTCCGTCATTTTTAAGGTGGTCCTACCGACCTAGTTTTACTTTTACAGCATGGCTCCACGGTGTAAAAGTGAAACATTATGATAGACTGACCTGTAGGCATATGGTGTAAACTGAGCAGCGGAAAGACGGCCGTCGACTGACTGGGCATGGGGATTTCAGCAGTGAAAGCCCAGCTAGGGTTACTCATCACCATGGCTGACCGTCTCATGGTTCTGTGTGTCTATCACTCAGGACACGGACAGCAAGGAGGCCATCGACAACATGGGCAAGGGTCTGGACTCCGACCACGACGGCAAGGTGGGCTTCGAGGAGTACCTGAAGCTGGTGGGCTACCTGGCGTGCTCGCTCAGCGAGCAGCGCGGCGCCGCCAAAGAGGAGCCGGCCCAGAACGCCGCCTCCGACCAGGGGACGCAGAGCGCCCCCGGCAAAGAGGAGGAGAGGCCCGAGGCCAACGCCGAGTCGAAGGAGGAGGCCGAGCCGAAGGCCGGCGAAGAGGCGAAGGCCGAGGCCACGGCCGAAGCCAAAGCAGAGGCACAAGCAGACGCTAAGGTGGAAGTAAAGGCCGAGGCCCAGGCAGAGGGGGAGGCCAAGCCAGGGGTGGTCAAGGGAGACGCGGCCACGGCAGAGGAAGTGGCCGTAGAAGAGGCCGGCAAAGAGGCAGAGAAGCTGGAGGAAACGGTAAAGCCGGAGGAAAGCGCAGAGAAGGCGGCCGCTGCTGCCGTGGAGGAGGAGGAAGTGGAGAAGAAGACAGAGGAGAAAACCTCATAGGGGACAATCCATTCCACCTAAAAAAGCAAAAAAAAAAAAGTTTTAATCACATGACCCGACACTACACAGAGCGAAACATTAACGCCAGAAATGTTTGAAATCCTGAAATGTTTTTTGAATATACAAGTTTAGCATAAAGAAATGATGGTAAAAGTTCAAACACTAAAAAAAAAAAAACACTATTCCTTATATATGACCATGTACATGAGAGTAGACGTATTGCTTTGTACTGCTAGTTACCACTATGTTCATATGTACAGCATGTGCATCCCACTATTAAGCACATTTACCTCATTATGATGCATACTATGATAGCATGCAGTTGTACACTATCGCGGGCATGCGGCGTCCCTGTGAAAACCTTTCATGCAGACTAGGATATTTGCTGCACACTTGACCAAAGGGTCCTAACACACTAGACACTTCCCAAACTTTCCCCTTTTATGTCTCGGGAATTGGTATGAAACGCATCGCTTTGTCAAACTTACGATCCAAAAATGTCGATATTACATTTGGTGGGTTTCAGTGTTTGCTTTAGAGTGCTTTAGAGTACTTTAAATTACCTTGACTGCGCACTCATGCCTCTTCTCCCTTCCTGTGGTTTACTTTAAAGGCTATCTCCCCCATTTTCCTAGTTTACCTGGAGCTGACAGTGTCCATCCTCGGCCATAAATTAGGAGCTGGAAGATCAGGTGTGACCTTTGGCTAAATAATTAAGGCCCAGGGATGGATTCTACACCTAAACAACCATTATGGTCAAAAAGGGAGACTGAAATAGTCCTGTGGGAGTGGGCTGGGGACTAGCGTAGCAGGTCAGAGAAGGTGTTTGTGCAACCCAATCTGCCTGATTAGCCGTGGAAGAGAGGAACGGGATAATAAAGAACCATGAAGTCAATAAAAGCCATTCTTGGTGCAACACTTGAACCAGTAGGTGCTGCGTTCTGAATCACCCTGGCTGCACTGGATAGAGGGAAGTGGTCAGAAAAGCCGAAACCAGAACTTTAACATGAATCGTAGCGCGTCGGTTCCAGCTTTTGTTTGTCGGTCACACCCTCGTACGGTTTAAACACCCTGTTTGACCTGCAACTGGATCCTTGGGCATTAGGCTTTGGGAAATTACTGGATTAGGCATTTCATGAGTAACACACCCTGGGACGCAAACAATTACGTGAAAGTAATCCCAGGCTCCAGTTGTCTTGCTCATCGTGTGAGGTGGTAGCATCTTTGTCAAGTTTTGCTGTTGTTAAGCAACAAATAATACTGAGCCTAACATGTTGCATGTTATCTAAAATTCTTTTGCTATTCACATTCCCATCTTTTTTCTATTTTAATACCATTATCACGGCCATTATTTAAGTTCTACTTGGCCTTTCTTTTTATAATTTTCTTTATTTTAAACCTATAATCTAACTCTTGTTTGGACCACTATGGAGATCACTTGAAAGCGTACTTCTCTGCCACATTCTATGTCATTTTTCAGTCAGAATCGAGGGATTATCATTTGAAATGACGCCACGAGATAAGAGCTCGCCATATATTGTGATTCAGTTGTGTGTGAGGTTGCACCTTGTGCTCTGTCAGAGCAACACAAACCCGCTCGGGTTGTGTGATCGCGTTGCCAAACTGTGACCCTCCCATTGTAAATACTCCAATTCACACCTACTTTGCCCAGTCTTTACACTCAAAACACACTTTGCCCACAGCTTTAGCTGTTATTAACAAACTTACTGCTCACCCTGGGATTTTCTTCGTCTTTTTTTTTTAAAGAATATTATTATTTTTTGTACTAAAATCAGAAAGTTTTAATAATACTTTTGGTACTTCCTATGAATATTGGAAATGTCAGTCTCTTGCACCATCTACAGTCAGTTTCCTGTTTAACAGTGCATCATCACTGCCATTGTGAGCCTGTGATATCTGAGTAAAGGTACGGTTTAAACAGAAGTCACTTACTTTATGTGTTGAAATGACTTAACTTGCACTAGCAGCAGATTCCATTATCGAATGTGAGCATACTTGGTTTTAACCAGCATACGAAAAAAAAAGTTTAATCACAGATAATCCTTCGTCAGAACATATTTGGAATAGCACAGGACCTATGAGAGATATGTTTTCTTTCAAAGAGGTTTATCAGTTTTCCTTGACAGATATGGCTCTGTTCCATAGTGAAGACCCCGCCCAGCTTTAACTCGCGTAGATCAAAACATGCTGGAACAACAGCAGATTTTGGATCTGGGAGTATTTTCATTGTCCCACAATAAATCTCATTCCTTCTGCGACATAACTGATGAAGATGAAAGTTGAAAATCTCCCAACTGGATTTAGCAAATACACATAGGAGTATACAGATGTGCTTTTAAGGCTCATAGGGTTCAGCTGTCCATTATTGTGGGGCAGCTCCCAACATGCTGTGCAGCCTCTCATCTGTTTATTTCCTGACGAGACCTAGAGAGGATGTGTGTGTTTTTAACAGCTGGACACATGTCAGTCCACTGTCATGTCCAAGAAACTGTCACTGAGCTAATATTTCATAAACAATGCTGTATCATGTTTGCTTAATCTATGTAATTGCTACTATAGAATAAAATTGTGACAACATGGTTTTGATGCATGCCTGGCTCTGTTAAAAAAAAACACTACCTGTCTGTTGTATGGAGAAAGGGAAGGGTGGGGGGGATCACCTAGAGAGAGATAGAAACAGGAGGAGTAAGTGGGTGAGGCAGCTTTGGGGGTGAGGAGGAGGAGGAGGGGGGAGGGGGAGCAGGTGATATTTAAGCCACTGGCAAACTCTCTCCCCATCCATCTCTGCCTTGGCTCTGTCCCCTGCACTTCTTTAAAGACAAAGGAGGCCCTCCATCAGCACTCAGGTAAGACCGATGGACAGGTTGCTTTTCTGGACTTTCTCCTCTGAGTCTGATGAAGGGGTTCACTGCCTAGCGTCCCATGGAAAGCCAGTAAATACCTAAAAAGGAACAGGTAGTGAGTGCTCTGCAGCAGACTTGGGACTGTGGGGGGGGGCATTCGGTGTCTTAGGGTCTGCTTTCTATTGATGAGTGATCAGGGACAGGAAATTGAAGCATGAAGCCAGCAGGGATTTGTTGATAAGAGGTGTTACATAATCACTATAGACTGACTTTAATCTTGAGTAAACAGATGTAACTAGAATGATTCTTCCATGTAACCTGACCTATGAAACATCAATCCTGACTAAAGCTGAAGTAACTCGCCTCTCTTTCAGGACATGGAAATGGCTCCATCCACGAGAATACATGATGCATATGCATTATTACCGCACTAAATGTTGCGTTACGAATAGGATTTGCTTGTATTGTGTCAGCCATTGAGACAAATGCCCCTTATAGCTTTTCCAGCTGGCCACATTTTGTGTCCACTGGTGGTCCCCGTTTGTCTGCTACCTGATCAGCCCTCTGCTGTAGGATGGGACCCAACAACTTCCAACCGATCTAAAGCACAATTATTCCTAACCTGTAAACTTGAGAATGAAAGTTGGACGCGTCTCAGATGAGGGAGTTTCATGCCCTCATTTGTATGCAGGCACCTCGGGTTTCACGCCGCCTCAGTTTCTCTTTGTCAGGGTTGTGTTTCACTCCTGGTGTCCATTTTGAATGCTGAGGAGGTTACGCACTTTTGACAGAGACATGTTTTAAATCACTATTCTAGAGTAATTGTGACATGCATTAACGATTCCCTGAGGAACCAAAGGCAGTGAGGATGTGCTCATTTTCCCTGCCCAACACGAGGGTCTTGCTACTCAAACGCTGCATGCTTGATAGTGACTTATCTGTGTCTGTGTGTGCACAGTCTCTCCACGAGTCCAGCACAAGACGCTCCAAGATGCCGGACACAATGTGTGTAAGATTGTTAGAAAAGCTTTTCCAAAGCTGTCCTCCATCTTTCCATCCAAACCTCCTAATGGAATAGAGATCCTAATGCTTAAATTTGGGTCCTCAATAGCCTCTGCGCCTCATGCAGTGAGTTATTGAACCTATTGAGTAGAAATAAAATAAAAAAACTTCTCTTTTGCTTTTCTTCACTCACTGTTCGAACTTTGCAATTGTCACTTTATCTTGGAGGTGGCTTCACCCTCGGTTGCCATGTGACCGCACATGCAGCCGGGGGCTGGAGCGGGCATTTTGTTCAAGTCTGACCTCTCGACCTGGTGCACTTTTCCAGCATGTCTAAGGAGCCCACTTCCAACCTGGAGAGTGCCATGCAGATGCTCATCAAGACCTTCCACAAATACTCGGGCAAGGAAGGCGACAAGTACACTCTGAGCAGGGGGGAGCTGAAGGAGCTGCTACTAGAGGAGCTGGGCAGTTACCTGGGGGTAAGAGAGAAACACACGTCGAGAGACAGCTTTACGTTAACAGTCGAAAGCGGTTTGCAAATACGCATCACTCAAGTGCAGGTATGCGCACAAGTGCTCGTGCATGCAAGTCCAAACAGGCCTGTGCAGCTTCGGAAGCCCACACACAAATAACAGAGAACACCGCTCGTAACTCCGTGTGTGTGCGTGTGTGTGTGTGTGTATTTGCGCCCTTTTAGCAAGGATCCAAAGACAACGAAGCGGTTGAGAAGGTGATGAACGACCTGGACGCCAACAACGACGGGGAGGTGGACTTCACCGAGTTCATCATCCTGATGGGGGCCCTCACGGTGGCCTGCAACGACTTCTTCCTGGAGTACAAAACAGATGACAAGGCGAAAGACGCAGACACAGCCGGGTCAGCAGAGAAGAAAGATTAAGGCCTGTGCAAGAGAAGAAGAAGAGAAACAAGGGGGTGGAGGTGTTTGGTGGGGGAAAGCTGTAATCTCTATGGTTTTTTGTCCTCATGTAATGTTCAAGCGCTAAAATCACACACTGCACAAGATGTTCACACTCATTCAGGTGAAGTTGCACTGGCCTAAACCCAGTGAGTGATTTACATTAACAACAGGGTACATCTCAAGAACTTTCCCCTCACTTTAGCAGCTTTGACATTTTTGTGGGTGAAGACGTAAATGGAGAAATAGAGGGCTTTTGCAGAGATGGATATTTGAGCTTTTTCTTGCACACAAATAATTTATTGACATATTTAAAGTTTTAGCTCACCTTATAAATGAATGTAGCCAGTGTTGAAAAATAGGAGATCTTGCACCTATTTTGTAATATATGGAGGTAACCAGTGCTTCAGAATATTAAAAATGGTATTAAACAGCAACTTTTCTGGTGTCTGGTGTCATGTACAAATTTGTATAAGATGCTGTGTGTGATGCTGTCTGAGTTGATGACTGTTAAATCTTTGTTTCAAACATTCATTTCAACTTGAAACGGTTAAGAATCCAACATAGAAAATTATCATGGTTAGTAAGTCAGCAACATAATTTGAAATAGGCCGGCTAAAAATGACAAACAAAAATTTTCATAACAAGCTGCACATGGAATAAATAAAAGTAAATAAAAAGAATATGTACAATCCAGAGCAATGTGAATCCATGTAAAGTGAAGCTGTAGATACTGAATGTCAACAATCCTCATTGCTCAGGGGGCCCAAAAATATTACAGGCCATCTGTAGCTGAAATAAATCCATATGCACATGAACACCTTTGAAAAGCAACGCCCCACACACGGTTTGTTGCTGCATGTAAAAATGCAATTAAACTTCCAACATTCAAAGGGAAAATAAACTTAAGTAAACTTCAGACACGCTGCACTCATTTCATGTCATTTTATCCTTAATTTAATTAAAATTGCCTGAAACAAAGTGTACAACTGTCCCACACTTTGATTAAGGACATTTAGGATATTTTTGTGACCGACATAAGGTGTCCTCTGAGCTAAAGAGGACCACCGGGTTGTTGATCTGTGATGGAAAAGGGGTCACATTACTGTACAACGTTTTCCACAAAAAAAAGATTTTCTTTTAGTCTGTTAAATTTATCTTAATCAGTAACTCAAAGGGTTTCTGAAGACTTCATTCATTTACATCGCAAAGGATGAACAGCTCCTTTGATACTGAGTCGTGTAGCCTTGCGACCAATAAACCATGATCTGGTATCTTTTCAGGATCACTTAGTTTTCCATCCTTTGGTTGACCTCATTTCAAGCTTTCCGAGATGTATTTAATCCATCAATTCAAGATTGTCTCCTATTTTTATGAAGTGATAAAATATGTTCCAAATAAAATATTGGTTTATGACATAATGGAAATGACATAATTCTGTTTTTATTGACTATTTTTAAATATGTTCCAACCTTTTTTCGAGTAGGTTTTTACAAAAGCATGACGGTAGAAAAAACATGGTTGAATGTTAAATATTCCTTGATCTGGTTAAAAAGAATGGATTTTATTTTTCATGGGCTTTTTTTGTTGTTTGTTTTTTCAAAGTTTGAGACTGTCTTCCTTACGGCGTCCTAATTGTCTGGAAAATGTGTGTCACATGCTCCCAGTTCATCCAATCAACTGGCAAGAACGACTGCACCTGGATACAAGGTTGAACAAGAGGGACGTCATAAAGCTACGGTTGTGAGTTGCTGTGTAAGCATGCTTGTCACTATGTGTATATTTGTGTGTGTGTGTGTGTGGGGGGGGGTCCTTTGTGTCTGTGTGTTGGGGATTCCCACAGAGTAAACTGCTCCAGCTCACACATCCTGCCAACAATATCCTGCAAGTCTTGTTCCACTAGATATAAGCTGACCCAGATGTTTGACTTGGATCCGCAAAGCAAACTTCTTCAAAAGAGGAAGAGGGAGGAAGCAAGAAGGAAAGGAAGGAAGGGCAGAA